GAAGACGTCGAAACGTTAGCCGAAAATAAATATATTTATCAACCTCGTGCAAGCTTATCAAGAAAGAATACATATTGATTCGTCTCAATATCGTTTAATGTAGTTAAATGCATGGCACATTCCTCGGGGGTTCAGCGCGAATACTTTCAAACTCGGCTTTCCAAAAAGGAAGTGTGGATTCCAATGGTTCTTACCAGGAATAGTCTTCAAGCATTTCAAAGTTGTTCAAAAAAAGCTGTTGTTTTTGCATCCGTCTGATAGAAAGGGTGTTGGAACTAGATATCCAAGCTATGCACTCTTTGGATGAAAAAGAAAAAAGAAAGACGAGATTCAACTCCTTCCACAGATCGTGAGGCTTATTTCAAGGACAAGAAGAGAAAGAGTAGGGTGAAAACCGTCGGAGAAATCGCTACTAGAAATCATTTCGATTCTCTGTAACAAACGTATTGAAGCCGTATAGAAGCACATATAGCACGAAGTAAGAGAAGAGGAAAAGTGTTACAAGCCTAGTCAGTAATAAAACTATGATCACCCGTATCAGCTGTAGTCCCGTTGATCGTCGAGTGACCCGAGCGGGCGCCAGTAAATCTTCCATTCTGCACTATCGCGTGCAAGAGTAGTCTAGTAGGTTCTGCTCGATCTAGGGACTCATCGAGCATCACATTTTTCTTCTCGGCTCTTTGTGAAGAACTCTGACCATCGGGTCGGTGGTCTTCCACAGTACGTTTGACATCCCGAGGAATCCAGTCACTAACGGCTCTTGTCCATTGGTTGTCATTCATTCGCATTACGTGTCCGGCACACTTTATCTTCGACTGTTTGGCGTACAGAACGGCATCTCTGATTTTTGATCGTTAACGCAGGTCGGAGCATCGGATCCCATCCCTTATTTGTGTAAAACGGGATACTCCTAGCATCGTCCTTTCGACTCCGCGTTCGGTAACGCTGAGAGATCTTTCATCCTGCTTACGCATGGACCAGGTTTCTGACGCATAAGTTAGGGCGAGAAGTAAAACCATGTTAATAACCAAAATCCAATGGTCAATGTGTAACTTTTATCTACTACTCACTATTTTTCTTTCAGCAGATCAACATTTTCATTCAGTGATCAGTATTTATATGCTACTATCAGCCCTTTGCAACCAAGTGGACCTCCACTAGAACAGAGCGAAGTAACAAATCACCAGCAATAACAAGTCGTCGTCGAGCGTCAGAAAAACTCTGTTTGAAGAAACATCTCGCATGTTTCTTACAGAAACGATCAGAAGACAAACAGACAGACTCACTAAAACATCTGTTAACAATAAGTCGATCAATAAAACATTTGTTCTATTACAATCTAACAAACTGTTAGGAGGGAACCACATGCTAAATTCAACTAACCGCAAACCCAGTTCCACAATGGTTATAAAAAATGGACAATATGCATCATTCTCCGAACGGTTCGCCGCTTCATCTTGGGAGGGAGGTGTTGCCAGGTGTCTTGCTGCGGTATACAGCGGTGAGATTCACCAACCCAGCAGAGTTTCTCAAGCTGAGAAGGAGCTCGGCCTTTCCACCAGGAAGCCCAGTAAAGAGTGAACGAATACCAGGATCCACCACCATCTTAGTATCAAACTAGTCGCATGGTCGCAAATCTCCCACTGATCCACAAGACCAGCAACTGTCTATGGTGGTGAAGATCTGGGAGAGATTTTGGCTAGGCTGACTTGGGGAATCCAGCAAACCACAATGGCTTAACCAGCAAATCTCCGAAAGATGGAGATTATGCCGGGGTCCGCACAACCAGTGAGGACGGGCCGTCCAAGTATCCAAGTAGTAAGTGATATGCATTATAGAACGGAGGGTTTCTAAGCCTAAGCGCAAGCTAAACGAAAGACCACATAAAAGCACTCAACGTTTGACAAAAAGTGACTAAAACTAACAAAGTTAGTTAGATTTAGAGCTAGACAAAATTCTAGAAATAAGAACTGATGGTAGGAGTCGAAAAGAAAGCCAAGTATGTTCAGCAATTTCTTTTAATCTAGAAGTAAAACTGGAAAAAGAAATGAGTTTCAATCACGTTGTAGCTAACAGCAGGGCACTTAATGCACTTACGGGAATGAGAACGAACTACCGGGACCACGTTACCAGTAACTCCTCAGAAAATATCGACTACTCCGAACACCAGACGCGCCATATTGCGTGGAATTGGCTCCGATAGCGTGCATGATCTTGGTTACTAGAGACGGTTTTATAGCATAGTCATGGCGCTTTCCTTACCATTTATTAGTCAGCTTGATTTTGCCGTTAACCTGTGCCATTAGATTTATCTCCTATTGTATATTATCAGCGGCAAGTGTAGCGCAGTGGTCGAAGGCGCCCTCCGACACATACATGGGATCGATCTCCGCGTCCATGGCCCACCAAGCGTTCCATCCCTCCGGGGTTGGCAAATTGGCACCAGACTTGTTTGAGAGGATAGCAGCACTGGCTGGATACATCGGTAGGCCGCGAATCAATTTAAAGGCCAGATATGCATTCAATCACCTTGAGACGATGCTTAATGAGGTCGAGTGCTTGGCGCTTCCCAAAGAGACTGATCAACGCCGAGAGTTTTATCGTTTATCCGTTTGTGATCGTTATCGATTTGGCATGACAAAACATTTTTAGCTTGGCCTGCACTTTTTAGCAATGCAGTTACTTATTTAAGGTTTCTAAGCTTATTTACGAGTCCTCTAGGGTGAAGATGTCAGTGACTGTTGGAGATAATGACGATCTTATTGCATTAGAAGGTGGTGAGAAAAAGCTTTCGAAAAAAGAGCTCAATAAGTTGGCTAAAGCCGCGAAGAAAGCTGAATTGAAGGCGCAAGTATGTCCTTGATGTATATTCGTACTTCAAGTTTTAGAGTGAGGTTTTAATGTTCCATTGAACTAAATGGGTGTATTCACAGCACGACGACGTTTTCAGAAAGCTGCCGAAGGTTTAACGCAGGGAAACGATGGCGAGAATGAGGATGTGTCGGCCGGCTTGTATGGTAACTACGGCATGATCCAGTCGGCTGATGTGAAAGATATTATGTTCACTCGAGTATGCAAAATTGACGTCGATGGTCATGGAAAACAGGTGTGTGCTTTTTTTCTATTCGTCTATTGTTTACTTTTATCCTTGCCTGCTGTGGTCCTGATCTCGGTTCTCCTTTTGATTAACATTAAGGAAGATGATGATACAGCTTACTTTCTCTTAATTATGGTCTTGGGCTCTGTGATTCCTCCTTCGTTAACATCATGGAAGGTGGTGGTAACACTTGCTTTCGCTTGATTCGTGTATTCTAGGTCGCTATTAATCTTAGGTTACTTTCGTTTTCCAGGAGAAGCATTGAAAAGTATAACAGCCCTTGTAGTTGTTTCACACTATTGGACTCGAATCTAAATGCGGTTACTTATTTGGAGCATGTTCCTTATTCATAAACTTTGATATCTGACTGAATATTGAGAACAAAGGCAAACGTTAGACAGCCCGTCTTTACTGCTTGTGCGGACCCCAGCATAGTTTCCATTGTTTCGGAGTTTCCGTTTCTAACAAGTCTCATTGGTTAAGTGCAAATCACATTTGCTTTAGAATATAAGAACTGCGGAATAAAACAGTTGAACGAATTGGCATTGGTACCCATTGTACAATATTTTCTCTTTAAAGGTATGGGTGCGGGGTCGTGTACATGCTATTCGAAGTAAAGGAAAAACATGCTTCCTCATTCTCAGACAGCAAATATACACCGTTCAGGTATGCTCTTTTCTAGTGTCAGGATATTCAGCTTAAAATTATCTTTTTTCAAGGTCATGTTTTTTGTTGGCGACAAAATTAGCAAGCAAATGGTCAAATTCGTTTCAAACATACCGAAGGTATATTCAAGAAGATATCCATAACAAAACAGTTTCATTTCTTGTACGTGTCCGCTTTGGGAATTTTTTCCCTACCTTCATAAATTTCGGATCTTAGGAATCCATTGTGGATATTGAAGGCCGCATAGAGAAAGTAGAAGAGCAAATCGAATCATGTACTCAGAAAAATGCCGAGCTTCATGCGATGCAGGTACATTTGATGTGCTACTAGATCTCTTCTCTTCTGCTTAAGATATGCCACATATCATGCTTAAGTGAAAAGGTTGCATTGTTCCAATGTGTCGTAGGTTTTCATTGTGTCTTTGTCGGAACAACGTCTACCACTCCAAATTGAAGATGCCAGCCGTCGACATGACAGTGCTGATGGACTTGCTGCCGTCAATCTAGACACGAGGCTTGATAACCGGTGTGCTGCTAGATTTTTATTATGATAAGGTTTTGTTAAATTATCCGGGTAGTAACTGTTCGCAGAGTATTTGAATTTCATTAATAATAATAGATGACTAACTTTTTTGCGTTTTCAAATCTAATCACTGTCAAGCGTCTTTACATTTCCACTTAATTTGTTTTCTTTTTTCTTCAAATATCACTAGGACAAGCTTTTCCTATCTACGACGTTGGACTTCCGACGAGTCTTTCATAAGTGCAAACTTTGTCCACACATCGGAAACTACTGGAATCATGAACTGAGCTTCACGAAATGGTATGGCGCTTAACTAGGCGATAGACAAGTGGTCAGAGAACCTTTGAACTGTGGACAAATAATACGGATGCTTTACTTGTATAGAAAACGACCTGTAGAACCGCTGTCGGTTAATAGGTTCACAAAGAGCTTTTAAATCGACGACGCTCGCGAGGAGTACGGTGATCAGTGTATAGGGATAAACCTCGTAATTAATGCATTTTTTCATTCACCTTGGTGGTACTGTTGTATAATAATTTATATTTTGGCCAATAAACGGCCACAGAATGCAAATATATTGATACAGATGCGACCCGGATTAGTTGATTGAAGTAGTCCTATGCTGTTATTGGAGAAAAACTTTGTGGGTTTCAACTAAAACTTTAAATTTCGGCTCTAAATGCAATGTTTTCAATATCATCTTAGACTTCGTTTTTGTGGTTTTTATGATATCCGAGCTTTGCGAAAACACAGTCCGTAATGGTCTGTCATTGAGGAAAATTTTGTTGCTTTTAGTGTAGCAGCGCATGGAATACCGGAATTATTTCGAGATTTGCGAAAGGAATCTGTCCAATCAGAAAAATACTGCTTGAAATTGTGACAGGGCTTTTTTGGTTTTTGTGAAAATGGCCACCTTTAGCGGCTCATTAGGTTATGAGTGTTTAGAATATAAAGTAGGGAGGTCGCACTGACTTTAGAAATGGCTCGTTTTTTTGTAGTAGTTTTTGAATGCGTTATTCATTGTTTAGTGAATTCTGCCATAAACAGTTTACTACGTGCTGATGTTATGATTTTAGCGTTCTCGATTTGCGCACAGCAACATCGCAGGGAATTTTTTCCATACAAGCTGGTGTCTGTAAGCTATTTCGTGATACCCTCAATCAGAGAGGGTTCGTTGAAATCCACACCCCGAAAATTATTTCTGCTGCAAGTGAAGGAGGAGCTAATGTTTTCACGGTAATACTACTGTTTCAAACTTTCACGTTCTGCCCATTCCTTTTTCATGTATGGTGCGAAATATAGGCATAGGGATGCTTTGATATCATACGTGAATGGAAATGAAACTGGACTTTGTGTTTTTTATGCCATCTAATGCAGTGTTTAGCTCCTAACGATCTACCACCTCATTGTGACTGGGATGTGTTCCTAGGTATCGGGCTGCGATGTACAGCGGGAGGATTTATCCTGCTGGCAAGGTCTCCCAAGCTGAGAAGTCCGGAGTTTCTATCAGAAAGCCCAGCTAAGAGTAAACCAATACCTGGATCTGTCATCGTTCTTGTACCAAACTAGTCGCACGGTGGCAAATCTCCCTTTGATCCATAAGGGTGGCGAGTGTCTGTGGTGGTGGCGACCTGTGGCTGACTTTGGTCTTGCTTACTTAAGTAGTCCAGGAAACCACAATAGCCAAAACAGCAAAAACCTCTGGGACCCGCACAATCAGTCAGGACGGGCTGTCCAAGTATCCAAGTAGATAATTAAGTGGTTTCTTGTTCGGGACGAAATTCACAAAGTGTTATTCACGTTTTCTGAAATCTAATACCTTTCTTGGGAATCGTAAGCGTTTTGCGTTGTCATAAACCATGTTTTCAGGTCTCGTATTTCAAGAGCTCGGCATACTTGGCCCAATCTCCTCAACTTTACAAGCAAATGGTGATTGCAGGAGATTTTGAGAAGGTAGTCATAATGCTTTCCTCAATTTTGTCTATCTATCGTTGATGTTGTTGTTTAGGTTTTCACAATTGGTGGGGTATTTCGAGCTGAAGATTCTAATACTCATCGGCATATGACCGAATTCGTGGGACTTGATTTAGAAATGGCGTTTAATTTTCATTATCATGAGGTCGTCTTTTCTTCTGATTCTAAGATTGCAGTCACAGCTGTCTTCAAATATGTAGAGTTTTCTTCTGTTTAGGTGTTGCAAACGATTGGATCCGTTCTCATCAGTGTATTTAAAGGCCTTCAAAGCCAATATGCTGATGAAATCGAGGCGGTTGGACGACAATACCCGGCTGAACCATTTGAGTTTTGTGAGCCTGCACTTGTTTTAACGTTAGTGTGCGATAACATTTTCTCACTTTCATCGTTTTGCTTTCTACATTGAAAACCGCTGTAAGTTTTAGGTATCCTGAAGCTTTGGCAATGTTGCGTGAGGATGGTGTTGAAATAGGTGATGAAGATGACTTGAGTACTCCAGTTGAGAAGCATTTAGGGCGCATTGTGAAGGTGATTTATGAATTCGCTTTGTCTTAACAAGATTTCAATTTTTAACGCTTAACATTTGTTTTGAAAGCAAGTCCGCTATTTCATCTTGCATAGTCGACTTTGAAATATTTTTTGTACAAACGAGTTTTCTTTGAAGAACCTTTTATTCCCTTTTCCTACATAAGCCTAATAATTTAGAAAAAATTCAAAACTGATTTCTTCATACTGGACAAATTTCCGCTTGCTGTTCGTCCATTCTACACCATGCCAGACCCACATGATTCAAGATATTCAAACAGTTATGACATGTTCATGAGAGGTGCCTATTTCTTTCCTAATTTGTTTTTTGTATGAGTTTGATGTCACAGATGAATACATGTGCTTAATGCATTATTTCTATCATTACATTATGTAGGTGAAGAGATTCTATCCGGAGCGCAGCGAATACACGATGCCGAATTCCTGATTGAACGTGCCAAACACCACAATATCGAACTCGATAAGATACGAGCCTACATCGACTCGTTCAGATATGGATGTCCACCACATGCTGGTGGTGGAATTGGTTTGTTTGTTTCTTATTTTTCGTTCGTTAATAAAACCCTGACGATTGTTTAGTCTTTGTACAATACCGTTTATAAACATGGACGATAATGATGAAGTTATGAAATTTCTAGTTGTTTTTTAGTAGGTGAGAATATTAGCCGCACTTGTGAACAATGATGGTGCTTTAAATTTACTTAACTAAATCAGTCACTACATGATTTAATTAGCCGTTTTCAACCCTCTGTTTTGAAAAACCACCGCTGCACGAAAGTCACTCTTCCTTGGTTGTTTTTCCTTAGGAGTATTTTTTATTTTTTAGTTTCTCTTCTGTAAAGACTTGGGAACATGGAAAGTTAGAAATTTACCCCAATTTGTAAGTAATAATCATGCTTTTCGCGCAGCGTTATTTTCATGCTCCATCCAATTTGGTGTTTCTTTCATCATTCTGCTCTCCCTCACTCTCTTTTCCTGCCGTCCTCCGTTATCGGTAAACTTGTCAACTGAAGTGCTTTCATGTATCAGATAGTCTCCTCAAAGAATTTTGAGAATTACGAAATGCTCGGAGCTGATCCAGTGTGTGACGAAATAACATTGAAACTAATTCGAACGTTTTGAATGACCACATATTCTACGTCGTCGGTCTCATCTGTCCGTACCGTTCTAGAGAAAATTCTCGGATGGTTTTTTGATAGGATGAAAGATTAAACGGTGTGATTATTCTATGATACAATTTAGAAAGATTCCGTTACCGTATGAGTGGTGTCGACTATGTTAACAAGCTTTAGAAGCTCAGCGTTTACATAGCTGTCATTCCATCCAGTGTTTTCCTCAGCACTTCTCTGCCTTGGTAAAATACAGTAGGGAGATTCTCGATGCTATGTAGGTATAGTAGGGAGCAAAGCCTTTCTGCCTATACTGTATATATACCTCACTTTGACTCATACTGCTTCGTTTTTGGCAAACAATGAATGACTACTTTCCATTTATCAGTCTATTTACTTGTTTTTCATTGCCTGTGAAAACCTATCGAGACTTTGTGGTAGAAGTTTATAACTATTGAACGACCTATAATCAATGCTGTACTTCAAAGTTCTAACCAAGTGCTGTCGTGTTTACTTCATTTCTTATACATTTAGGTTAATATGCATTAGTTTCAGTATGTACGTGGTTGGAAATATTTTAGCATTTGAGCCTCATAAAATCCTACCTTTGTTTATAGAGGATTTTACTAATTAAAGTAAACTGGTGAATCGTTTTTTTTTCTTTCTTTTCTTACCTTTGGTGTCAAAATGCGTGTATGGGGCAACGAAGCGATTTAACGAGCTATATTTTGTACTACACAGCACTATGGTATCGAACACGCCACTATTCTAAACATGGTGCTACCATGTTAATGTGTCAGTATTTACTAGTTTAACTTGAAAATTCAAAATAGACGTGTTATTTTTTAAAGTTTGCTAGTGCCCTTGGAACGATAGATAGGATAGCAGCACTGGCCGGATACATCGGTAGGCCACCGCAAGTCGCTGTGAAGGCCAGATATGCATTCAATCATCTCCAGACGTTACCTAATGATGTCGAATAAATGGTGCATCCCTAGGGATTGATCATTGCCAAGAGCTTTATTCTTTATGTATATAAATGTATATATATAAAGATATATGACAAATGTATATGTAACTACATGCTGGACTCGGAGTTGATAGCTGTGTTTATTTACTTAGTAATTATTGCAACTGTCTCTCTTTTGGGTGAATTTCTCAAAGGAGATCGCGAAATGTTTTTGCGAGTTTGCCAGTAGAATGAATGTTCATCCCTCTACAAGGGTATTCGCTCATTTCTATACGATCACTTAACGAAGTATTCGTATGCGGTCTTGAATCCGTTATAGACAAAGTTGACTATTATTAACACTTAATGCGAAGCCGGTTTTTGACAACTGCTGATAGAGTTACGTGAAGGGTAAGGATTTGATAGACATTTAGAAGAGAGCTTGCTCTGTCTGTAAGTAAGATTTCTCGTTATCAATTTTTAAAAAATTGAAGACAAAGCTTAAATATTGAGAGCTCTTGCGTAAATTCAGTATCCGCAAACATCAACGACGCATTGAGAGGTACTATCAAGTTTTGTTTGACAAAATCCTCTTGATTCCATTCGTTTTCGAATACGAGCCTTAAAGCAAAAGAAGTGTGCAAAAAACAATTCCTGAGCTCTTGAAAATCAAGATTTCGTCTTTGTTGGATAGCAGAACTTCTGTCTGATTGACAAAAAACGATAGATCCCAGTGGTTTCTGTTTCAATTAGTACAGTTCACTACGTAGTGAGACATGTCGGTTTACTGTTGGAAGCAACCATTACCTTCGCATGATATGAGTGGAAATGAACTTTACTCTAAGAATCACACTCTAAGTGTTAAAATTGATAGTCTAGTGCAAAATATTTGATAATACTGCGTTTTTTATTTCATAATACGAGATTCTTTGAATGATTCAGTTTTTAAGAAATCCATAGTCAGAGCGTGGTGCTCAATTGTAGAGCTCTCGTGTGCGACGTAGCGGCATGGCCTTTGCAAGTATCCACTCATTTTATACATCATTTAAGTGTATACTGAATGTGAAGCATTTACCCATTGTCTAGGCACAATAGGTGCCAAATCATAGGCATCAGTTGTTTTACTGATGTTTTCATGATGGTATACAGCTGATGATGACCGATCATGCACCACATTTGGTTTCAGGCCTTGAGCGAGTGACGATGTTGTTCCTTGGCTTGCAAAACGTTCGCCTCGCTTCAATGTTCCCTCGCGATCCGAAAAGAATCACTCCCTAACGATGTCTGTTTTCTTTCCTTCTTGTTGATTGTTGGCCATTTCTCATGTTCGCTGCTCTTTTTTTGCAGTCTCGTTTTGTAGTCAGTATAATTTATGTGATGCTATCAATTTTCTACGTTTTCTTTGTTATCTTGCAGATATTGGGGGATCGGATAAAACATTGTTTTATGGCTTAAAGCACAAAATTGAGACTATTAGTTTAGGCAAACGAACATTTTTGATTAAAAAGTGGTGGACGTGATCTTATCACCAAGAAGGGCAAATGCCTACAACTCAGTTGTCTTAGGACACCATATCTGTTTTTGAAGCGTACTTTAGCCATTAAGAATAAGTTATCGATGTAGAGATCAGTAGCTTCCGTGTATCGCCTAAGACTATGATCAGCTATGTATAAAGCTAGATCAGATTTATTTCGCTGAAGGTTCACCAGCAGATCAATTCGTGGGATGACGTTTTTACTGCTAAAAAAGTCTACTTGGATACTTGAATGACTCGTCTTCACTGGCTGTGCGTGCCTCAGCACAACCTCCATTGTTTCGAGGTTTTGCTGGTTTAGCCGTAGTGGTTCGCTGGAATCCAGAAGTTAGCCTGGCCAAAGTCAGCCCCAGATAGTCACCACCATAGGCAGTCGCAGCACTGGTGAATCAGAGGGAGGTTTACCACTATGCGACTAGTTTGATTCCTAGGTGGTGGTGGATCCTGGTATTGTACTTAAGGTTTCTTTTTCTATTCAAAGGTCATAAGGTTACTTATGACTTCCCATTAATGCTACTTGATATACTGCGTTGCTGATGTGCATTCTTTCTGATTCTATATTTGTTTTTCGTTACAAGCTGTCTCCTGTCTGTTGCCAGCTGTTATTCTCTCCATTACAAAGAAACGTGTCGAAGAGAGTGGTTTTTTTGTACCTGTAGGTCTGCAGTAGTTTCAAGGAACCGTAAGGTGGTATGAAAGGTGAGTGTGACGAGAAAAAACTCTTCAAAAGATTGCTTCGAAATATTCTCGAAACAAGTTTCTCAAGGACATTACATTTTTTAGTGTTCTGAAATTGAATGACGGCATTCGGCCAGTTTAATAATGTCTCCTGTAACGAATGTCTTTTCGAAATCTTCTATGTATTCATGAACAACAAGACCGTTTTATTGGCTACGTTGCCTTCCATAAATGTCCATGTTTTTGAAGGTTACTGACCTAAAGTGAAAGAAACGCTCTAATAGAATACTGTAACTCCTCAAAGAATTCACCTATAGAGAGTGCGGTATTTTCTTTGTGCATGTCATTGCCTAATCTGTCATTTAATAGTCTTTGGTACTCAAGAGTTTTGATTTGAAGAAGTGTTCCATACCTGTCTTGCTAGTTGTCAAAGAAAATGGCCGTAGCACTTTTAAAATCCACTTTCATTTAACTTTGGCATGAATGACTAATAAGCTGGTCAATCAATCCAAAAGTTGCCGGATCGATCAGTAACTGGTTCATTTGTAAGAACGAATGAGATTTTTAACAAATTCTGAAGTCTGAAGTATTACACTGTTTCTCTTCGATAAGCAAGCACAAGTTTGGTATTACAGAATTTATTGGCATACAATAGCTGACGTTTCGGAGCTTTCGCCTTCTTCAGAGCCCTTTTATTCGTTGTTAGTATTCTATCCTCGCGCCCTTGGCACACCAAGTCTTCCATCCCTCCGGGGTCGGCAAATTGGTACCAGACTTGTCTGGAAAGATAGCAACATTGGCTCGATACATCGGTAGGCCACCGCGAGTCATTTAAAGGCCAGATATGCATTCAGCCACCCCCAGTGATACTTGATGAAGCCGAATGCATGGCGCATCCCTCAGGGATTGATCAATGCCGAGAGCTTTATCCTTTATTATTTTTAAGTATTCCAATTAATTGTTGGAGACCACCCGCACAGAGTAACACATGAGCGAAGAATCTCAAATAATACTTTACTTAACCGACTTTCACTTAACCTCTGCATGAAAAATTTTCTTTAAATTGTTCAGCTTACAGAGGGCTGGTATATATCTTTTACTGAGCTAAATCCTTAAGCGTAGCCTCGGTTCGGTAACATCGTCATCCTCATTGCAACGACTCAACTGTGTCCTAACCAAAGCTAGCCGTTCCATGAAATGCACTCGTGAGAGCCGCCTCGTGTCGAATCGGATGTAATCGAGACGCCGTACAAATCTGTTCGTCGTAAGCATTTATTGCTTATTCTTGTACCTAAGCCAACGGAATGGTTTCACTACCTATTTTTATTGATGTGATCTCTCAACGTGGCACGTGTAGCGCAGTGGTCAGAGGTGGCCTGCAACACACATGGGATCGATCCCACTCTTCAGGCCCGGCAAGGCCTCCATCCCCTTGGGATCTACAAATCGGTACCAGACTTGTTTGGGATGATAGCAGCACCAACTAAAAAAACCGGTAGGCCACCGTGTATCACTGTATAGGCCAGATATGAATTCAATCAAGTCTAATGATACCTGATGAAGTCGAATGCATGGCGCGTCTCTCAGGGATTGATCAACGCCAGAAGCTCTATCCTTGATCCTTTTAATCATTCCGCTCAGATTTTCGAAACTTATTCCATCTTTGGGAGCTAGGAGAGTATACATCGATAGCAAAACGCAAATTGGCGGGTCAAGTGATAAGAAGAGCGGATGACGGATGGACGAAAAGAACACTGCAGTGGACTCTGAAAGAATGCAAACGTTCTCATGAAAGATCGCGCAAACGATGGGTGGACACGTTCGTGACTAACTTCAATCATGTGCACATGGATAAGATTTTAGGAATTCGGAATGGGCTTCGTGGACGTAACCATGTTCAAAGCAGACCAGCGGTATGGAACATGACTGAATGAGGGAGAAATGAATGGAAGTTGTGCTCGCACTACCACTGAAGACGGGTCACACAAGCATTCAAGAAAGCAATCAACTTTTCGTGGTGGCACAGGTAGCGAAATAGGTAGAGGTGCTCAAACTGGTCCCAACGGATTCTGGCCAATCGAGCAAATCGTTAAGCATCATATCTTCCTTCTAGGGTTTTCGTGAAGATCTCGATCGGGTTTCGGATTGCTTTCCTCACTTACGTGATACAAGCTGCTCTAAGCGTCGTCTCTTTGACTGAATTTTCAATAACGCTGAGTAATTCTTCATCTTGCATACGCAACGGCCAGGTTTCTAATGCATATGTTAGGAAGAAAGAATCGGCAAGTCGAAAAGGCGGGCACATAGTTCGGTGTTCCTTGTTCTCTTCACTGCATCCTCGATGCTCTTGAAAGCTTCCCATGCCGCTCGCTTCCTTCTGTTCATCTCTGGAGCTAAGTCGTTCATCATGTTGTTTTCCCATGCTAAATAGACGTACTTGAAACATTCGGACATATTCGTCCAGTTGAGTGAGAGTGGGACAAACGAAGCTTTTGAGATTTGACCGTAACTGCTGCTCTTCTGTCTTTAAGATCCTATTTTATCACTTGCCTGCATAGTCTTCAAGTGAGTTGACAGTTGCCTCTTGCTAGTGCGATTCCACGCTGGCGCATCAGCTCGTGTGTTTCCGGAAACAGACGTTTCTTGGCGACTTTCAAACTCTGCTTTCATAGCGCTAACGTGAGAATGTTCAATGAGTCGGTCGTATTCCTCATCGATGTTAGCAACAACGGTATCTTCACAACAGTGGGCTAATGAATTTAAATAAATCTCAGTCCATGACGGTTTTGCGTCTTCGTTTTTCGAATTTACCAGCTTTTTTTCGTTTCCGCGAAAGGTGTACTTTTGCACGAAGGAGGGTATATGGTCTGATCGTGTGTAAAATTTTGGGACAACAGCGACATCGATTAGGCAAAACCATCAACTTATTAAGACGTGGTCTATTTTATTATGCTACTCTCAACTTTGAGATTCCCACAACATCCAGCGTTGAGAATAAGCCTTCTGGAATTGTGAGTTGCCATGAATGGTATTTATCGTCATGATAAAGTTAGACAGCCGCTTTGACACCTTGCTTGTTCCAACGAATCGATGTTCATGGTCAAATTCGTGTCGACGAGAACGCCGACGTCGGCGACTCCTCTACTATCGCACTGTCACATGTTCCGAAGAACAGTTCTTCCTGGTGTCATAGACGGCGTTGAATGGGTGGCGTCGTCTCGTCTCGGCCACTCCAATGACGTAGTACCTCGTCCATCTTGCCTACATAATCAACCCCTTTATCGAAAACCAAATGGAAGCGAGCGTGCATTGCGGGTACAGATCGTCACATTAGTATTTTATGGTTTAGACAGCTTAGAATGGCTCTTGAATTTTAGCAGTCGCTTTGCACACGTCCTAGTCAACGTTGTAGTAACGGGATTTCTTTCGGAGTTAAGGGAATGGTGCCCACGCACTTTACTGTAGTTAGCGTTTGACACCCATGTGTAGCCTGCTGAGCTCTAAACGTGGGGAATGGCTATACTTACCGTTAGTTTTCCATTCTCTCGCAGAGTAGACGGGAAGATTATTTGCTGAAAGCTCTTAGGAGTCTTAAGCGCCACTCATATAATTCCCTGTCACTTGATTACAGGCTTTGGTCAAACTGACTCGTAGACTCCGCATAAACAAGAACACAACCACGCACGCATTTATGAATACGCCTAGCAAATGCAGAAAGTATGTGCCAAATCGGCGCAACGGTAACAGGGAGTTGATGCCGTGGATCTGTTGTCCATGCCGTAATTCATATGAATGACCTGCTGATAACCGTCAAGGAATTAGGGATGTTTTGTTTAGTGATTAGAAAAGTGGTGAACATTCATGAAGTGAGAACACGTCGTTAAAAGGTATGTCTGAAGCTCATTTCTTAACACCGTTGAGATTCAGTCTGCAATTCACTCACTGGTTCTTCTCATCTTCGGTTGTGTATAACGTCTTCAATCCATCACCACAAAAAAAATCTAAGGAGAACTACAATGTGGGAAAACAATCTGAATCTAAGTGCTTAGGAATCCTGCATGATGAGTTCAACGTACAAATTCAAAACACTATTGTCTACACAACATTTCTTATTGGAAGTTTACTTAGCCTGTAAATAGCCTTCTTAGTTACTATGAGAATCGCTATTAGTTGGAGCCAAATTTTGACGGAAGAAACAAAAGCTCGCGAAATCATTTGAAACACTGATCCACTAGAACAAGTTCTAGCGTTTTAAACTTTGTACGTCAAAGTTAAATGGTGTTACAAGATTGTTTGAACCTATTTTACAAATTACCATCTTAAATTAGTTAATTTTACTGATTGAGTCACTGATTGGTTCCTACCGCAAGGTGTATTGAGTTATTGGTTAGAGGACTAAGCGAAAATCAGGAGCAATATTTTATTCCCGCTTGGTACTAAGTCGATCTATGTCTTCGCTAAGCTCAGCGGTCCAGTCCATGGTTACGTAGGTCTGATGATTCGTAAGCTCATTGTATCTTTCGTTCAACTCGACAAAAATCCGTAATTAAGTATTTGGGAAGTTTAGAGAAAAAGTGTTTCACAGACGCCTCTAACAAGGAAGAGCTCCACATCCATTCAGGTGAATTCCGGGATGCGGAAAGCCATTGCTGAGTAAACTCGCTGTTCAGCTGTTTTCCGGAATAGTTGCCTTCGGCAGTAAGCGATTTTGGCGGAATGGTGTCACCTTGTCGGACATCCTTGCTTATAGGGCGGCCTGAGTATTGAAGAACGATTTTGTTGTGCTGTCGTGGCGATAGCAGTCAACTGCACTCCTTATGTTGGAATGGGTCTACTCTTCAGTCGATGATCCCTGATAGGATGCCCTTTGTTTCACATTCGTCGAGCGCTTTTCTGTGCTCGGAAACTATTGGAATAAAACGACTTTAACGAACTCATTTGAATTGCTCGATGGTAACGAGTGGTCCTCTACACTTGTCATCTTCAAGTCTCTCACCTCTGTTTTCATAGCAAAGATTTTTTACGTTTTCTTTTTCCATGCGCCACTTTCATTGTGTTCTAAGGAGCTTTGCTGAGTTTCTAACTAATACAGCTTTTTGACTGAGTCTTACTTACGAGTGAAAACTGTATATAAGAGAAATACAATTCGTTTTTGATGTTGAACTGATCGTGTGTGGTTGCACAGCGAGAGTTCACCTTCATAGTAAGGATGGCCACAGAAGAGAGAAAGAGAAGATGTTGAGACAGAACGACGGGCTCTGCACTTGGTTATCTTGTCTACAAAAGCGGTAGGCTTAAGGAGCAGTAGCTCTGCTGCTCCGTAACCTGGACGAGTTTCTTTGTGCCAGCTAGAGTTACTGGCTGATCAACGGATTTGCAAGTGGAACAACGATATACCAAAAAAAATGTGTTTCGATTTTTTACAAGTTTGATAGTGCAGCCCAATATGCGAAACATGGATGTTTACGCCAGAGAGTCGTAAACGTGCTGCTGTTAACTTAATCACGCGCTGTGGTATCGAAGAGTTCATTTTTTCCCGTTAATATCATTACAAAATTCCTTGTAATTACTCAAAAGACCGACTTTCAATAAAACTCGGCATACACAGCTAATATACTTATTTATTTGTTCTTATACTGATCTCCTTAGGCTGATGCGAGGTTGGTATAGGTCTTCGTTGTCTTTGTCGTTGTTGTTGTTGCTGTTGTTGGTGTTGTTGGTCGATGACTGACGTTTCGGCGATTTCGCCTTCCTCAGACCCGTGCTGTTATGAGTGGGACCTCCATTCCCACGGCTCTGTAGAAGGCGAAATCGTCAAAACGTCAGCCATCGACCAACAACACCAACAGCGACGGGAACAACAACGACAACAACAAGGAAGACCTATACCAACATCGCGTTGGCTCAACAAGACCAGTTTGCAAGGTCATATAAATAAATATATCTTGGTAATTAAGTATGATTTTGAAACATGGAAGACTATGCTCTAGCGATCTACCGCACCTCAATTGCAAAGACATCCCAGTATCACGTATTCCACATTTTCTAAAACAGGAATTTCATTACGTCACGTTCTTCTCGCCTATGCTAAAATTCCTCCGATACAGGAAACAGTAGATTTATGTGTAGTCGTAAGTTGCGTTCTGATATGGCTGTTATCACTTTACTATCATATCTTGTTGCCAGGCGCCCACGTCTTAGCCCACTTCTGCTGTTAATTCCTCCTCTTCAGCTTTTGGTTAAAGTGTGTAAGACATTCTCACTCCGGAATCTTTCGTTTATTTTCAATGACGTCTTTGTCTTCGTTTCTCATTCAATATGCCTTATACTTGAAAATTCTCCTAAGTGAGTGAGTGAGTGAGTGATTCTCCATGACAGTTGAAATAAGCTTAGAACAAATGAAATTCGAGCATAAACAGAAATTTTACATCCAACAGAAAAATTTCTGGGCTGAAATTCGCAACGTTTATTTCACTACAATACACCAATATACGGGTGTGAACTGTACTTTCATGGCAAGAGAAACAAGTAGGAAAACGATGAGTCACATATGACTCATTCTGATACAAATGTGTAAAGTTTGCTTCTTGGTGAGATGATTTCACAACAGTGAAATCTTATTTTTGTTTTTTTTTATCAAGCACCTTGCTTCTTCCACAAATTTTTGAAGTTATTTGGCGCATGCTTCCTCACCTGACCATTTTACCATATTTATCAATGGAGGACTCGAACAGGCACTGATAAAATCTCCATTCGTCTGCAGCAGTTGCTTCCAGTTGCGTTAGAGGAAGAGGAAGAATCCTACACTTCGGTTATTGGGCGGTTTGCTCTACTGTTATAGAGAGGAGATAGCTATGCATAGCGCACCAGCATCGGCTTTGGAATAAGTTTACTCTTCGCTGAGCTTCCAAATAATAATATTTGATTGCTTGGGAAGCTCTACAGTGACGTGGCGCTATTAATTAATAGTTACAGGAATTCTAAGGAATGTAATGAGTTCAATGCCCACACAGCGGGATTCCAACTACTGTTTACTGACAATTCGATGTTTTTCTTCAATAAGCAGACACTGTGCGGCTGCTATCCATCAACTAACTTAAATACTTACATCAAATAAACGGCTCTGAAGAAGGCGAAACCGCCGAAACGTCAGCTATTGTATCCTAATAAATCCTATAATAACAACCTCGTGTCTGCTTATTGAAAAAAAAACATCGAATTATCAATCAATGCCGAGGTTAAAAGAAAGTCGGTCATGGGAATTGTTTACTGACAGTTCTCTTTAGAAAGCAGTTCGCTTCTGTTTAATTCGATGGACGTCTAGGAATGACAAGATCTATTGATGAAACGCTGCGATTTTCATTGCTCTATCGGTATAACAGACCCGCAGCTGGCGTTGAAGCTTCCTGGCAGCCCTTTTCA